AGTAGGAGGAGTAGTAGTAGTAGCAGCAGAGAAAGGTGGAGGAGGCAAGGGTGGAAGACGTGATGCAAAGGCGCTGGCTAGTGTGGGTCGTAGGTAGAAATTCGTATCAGCTGGCCAGTACGAGCAACTGACCAACCCGAGTCTGCAAGAGCGCAGCTTCAGCTCCAAACACCAGCAGTATCCATGCGGCCTGGTGGGCGCCACAGCGCCGGCGAAGCAGAGTCGTCCTAGGCGCAAACATGCCGCACAACAGCAGCTGTTGCTTTAGCTGACTGCAGCAGCACCGCCCGTACAGAGCCAGACCGAAGCAAGCTTTTAAGGTCTTCAGTGAACACGGGAAGGAACTGACCCTCAACCCATGAACTGAACTTGAAGCCCTGAGCTGGGAAGGATGCGGAGGAAGCGACTGCAGCAGAGGAGGCGGACTCCATCGATCCGGAGACGCCAGCGGTGGTCGAGGCCCGGTTTTGCTAGCGATGACGATGCATAGTAGCACACAGTGTGTTTCGAGTGATGCAAGTGCACATTAGTCATGACATATTAACGAAAGGACGACGAGGATGCAAGGATGACCAGGACGACAACGACGAAAACCACGACGAGGAGAAAAGCAACACCACCGCCACCGCTCACAACGACAGAAAGACCATCACATGAAGAACAACAGCTGAAACATGTTATTGTACCAGAGAATCAGCGGAAACATGTGCACCACCACCGCTGTCACCGTCACCACCGCCACAGCCGAGGCACTGGCAACCGCAGTCGTGACGCTGCCATCAAGAACACCACGACAATCTACCAGGAACAACGACAACTGTGACAGTACTTACAACAAGCCAACGACGATGACGCCGACTACCACTACCACTGCCACAACCCCTATGTACCACAACCACTGCCACCACGATCACGGCGACTGAGCCGCCTTACTGCTCCCACTACGACCTGTACGACTACCACCTACTTCTACTACTACTACTGCTACTACTACTACTACTACTACTACTCTCTACTGCTACTGCTACTGCTACTGCTACTGCTACTGCTACTGCTACTGCTACTGCTACTACTTCTACTTCTACTTCTACTTCTACTACTACTACTACCACTACCACTACTACTACTACCACTACTACTACTACTACTACTACTACGACCACCACCACCACCGCCACCGCCACCGCCACCACCACCACCATCACCACCAC